AAGCATGCAGCTCTTGATTTCAGCTCACATCATCATCTCATGGATCATAGGTTTGAGTCCCATGTTGGGCTCCATACTCCTGCTTAGGATTCTGTCTCTCTGCCCCTCTCCTTCTTGTGTGCTCTTTGTCTCCCTCTCTCTCTCTCTCTCAAAATAAATGAATAAACTTAAAAAAATAATAATATAATACAATACTGGTAGTTTGGGATTTGTAATTTCCCGTGATTTAGCACACTAGAGCTGGATGTGTCCCACGGCCCAGGCCCCAGTGTCCCTGACAGAACTGCGGTCCAGAAAGAAGATCCAGGCACAGTGGCTCAGATCCTGACGGCTCACCCCGGCCACACAGGACGATGTCAGAGACTGAGATGCACTGGTCAGTGGGGAGTAGGAGGAGGCCAAGGTCAGACTAGAGCCTCTGCCCATCCCCCCACCCTCTCCCCGGTGCAGGTGCTCAGGACCCCACTGGAGGGCTTTCTGGAGGCTGGGACCGCGGCTGTCTGGGGTTCTGAGCACAGCCTGTCATAGCTTTTGGAGAGTAGATGTCCTCAGTCTACGTGGAGGCTCCTCTCCACTGCCTGCACTTGCCTCTGCTTGGAAATGTCACTGTCTTCTCAGACCCAGGCCCTAGAAAGCCATCTGGTCATCACCTCCCAGAGCACGTTCTGTGTTGGCCTGCTTTGAGCCTTGCACTAGAGTCAGAGGCTGGGAACCCCAAACTTCATGGGGATCCTCCTCTCGAGGGCCCCTCTGCCTTCCTCTGTGGTCACTCTGTCCATGTACCCTCCCCACAAGGTACTTCACCCCTCATTCAGTCTGTCCCCAGAACTGAGCTGTCCTGCTCACTGGTCTGGCCGTCTCCCTCGGGGCTCCCCCCACACGGCTTCCCGCAGCTGCTCCTGCACGTGCTCTGGAAGATCATCAAGGATCCCCACGGGCTATGGATTCTTTAGCTCCTTGGCTCGCTTCCCAACCAGACCCTATTTCCTGCAGCTGGGCCTCTCTCTGAACAAAACAGACTCACTCCCCTTTCTCCATGACCTTGACAAAGATAATCCCCAGGTACTTGCGGGACGCTGTTATTTGGAAGTGCCTGAACACCGTTCCCCAACCAGCAAGATGAGAGGAGCTAATCTCTGCTCCCTTACATGAGCAAATGAGAGAACGCAGGTCTAGGAAAACCACAGCACTCTGCGTCCTGTCGGGCGGTGTCCTCAGCCCTAATGCTGGCGTCACTGCTTCTCCTGTGATGCACATTACAGTCCACCTATGGAGACATCTTGAGCGGCTGGTCCAGAGAAAGCCCACAGTTGGGAGATGGGAGAGAAGGAGAGGAAGGGAGGGGGAAAGTCCCAGCTGGGGAAAAGTATGTGGTAGGCGGAGGGGAAGAAAAACAAAACTGGATGCCCAGTACTACAGTCTTTGCAGATTTCCCCAACATCATTTCTGCCTAAGATTTTCCAAGTCTTTCCTGTCCCTTGTAGGCTGAAACTCTATGTAGTTTCCACCCTTGTCAATGTCATCATCATCATCAGTGTTTGTAAATACCTAATGATATAAGGAGCAGCTCGCTAAAGATTGAAGCTATCAGCAGCCTCAGTAAAGCATCTGCTGTCCTCCAGAGATGCTAACTGATGAGGCACCAAGATTGATGCCTGGTCAGATGAATAGTGCGGGGACGGGTTGGTGTGTGGAGTGTCAGGCTGGCAACGAGTGGCTTTCTCAGCCCGGGGTCTGTGTGCTCATGGACACGCACAGCTTCTGAAGTGACTCCATCTATGCGTCAGGCATTGTGTCTGGTGTGGCAGTGTCTCATGTGCATGCCTCAAAATATGCAGATATTATTCCATGTGATCAAAACACAAAGTCACAGCTTTGTCCACATGCGTGGGTAGACTCTGCCAGCTGCCTTCGTCAAATGATACAGAAATAGCTGCTAAAACCACATGCCATTGTGATGTTAGGGAGCCTCTGTTCCAAAGAAGTGTTGCCATCCGGGGTGCCTGGGGTGGCTTAGTGGGTTAATAAGTGCCCAACTCTTGATTTCCACTCAGGTCATGATCTCATAGTTTGTGGGTTCAAGCCCTACATTGGGCTCCGTGCTGATAGTGCAGAGCATGCTTGGGAATCTCTCTCTCCCTCCCTCTCTCTCTGCCCTTCCCCTGCTTGTGCTCTCTCTCTCTCTCTCTCTCAAAATAAATAAACTTAAAAAAGAAAGAAAGAAAGAAATGCTGCCATCCATTAATATAATCCCGGCTCTTAGGTAATTCGGATTTGATTGATCCGTGGTGGGACTTGGGCACTTGGAAAGCTTCCCGAGTGCTTCTTCTTCTTCTTCTTCTTCTTTTTTTTTTTTTAATGTTTTTTTATTTCTGAGAGAGAGAGAGAGAGCATGAGCAGGACTGGGTCAGAGAGAGAGGGAGACACAGAATCTGAAGCAGGCTCCAGGTTCTGAGCTGTCAACACAGAGCCCAACGTGGAGCCTGAACTCACGGACCGTGAGATCATGACCTGAGCCGAGGTCGCCTTAACTGACTGAGCCCCCCAGGCTCCTCTGGGGGAAAGCTGGGGGGTACTGGTAACTTCTTCTTTCTGTCTCCTGCTTCTGCTCCCATGGTGGTGCCGGTTACATTTTGAGTCAGAAGGAATTCAAGGCAGCTTTATTAGTATCCAGAAATAAACAGCTCACTTGGCAAATATATTCATTTCCCCAAAATGATGAAAAAAAAAACCACATACCTTTTCCCACCTTTGGGTCTCTGAGCAAGTGGGTTGCTCAGAGCCCCAAAATCTAGCCCTCAATGCAAGATTGATTAATGGAGGACTCCATAACCTACTTGCTGTCTCTCGACTTCACTGTCTGTAAAATGGGTGACATCCATTCTTCCTAATGGGCTAAAGAATGCAGAGGTTGCGATTGCCCAACTCTGTCACTTTATAGTCTTAGCCAGGGGTGCCCATACACCTTGCCAATAAAAGACAAATAACAAGGAATGACAGTAGTGTCTTCTCAGAGTGTTACTGGGCATGGTCGATGTATTAATAATATTCACGGCCCTTTGAGCTGCACAACATGTGCCGACTGCTCCATTTTTATTTCTATAAGTTGAAAGGAACAAAGTTATGTAATGGACCAGATAAGGCACAAAAATGCTAAAGATTACGACATAGATGTAAAGTTTCTTGTTTGTTTATTTATTTATTTTAAGTTTTATTTAATTTTGGAGAGAGAAAGAGCATGAGCAGGGGAGGGCAGAGAGAGAGGGAGACACAGAACCCGAAACAGGCTCCAGGCTCTGAGCTGTCAGCACAGAGCCCGACACGGGGCTCGAACTCATGAACCGTGAGATCATGACCTGAGCTCAGATCAAGAATCGGACTCTCAACCCATGGAGCCACCCAGGCGCCCCAGGTGTAAGGTTTTTAACAAGAAAAAAAGGGAATTAATTCGTGTCTACGTTTCACAATAGAGGATAAGCCTTGAATGTCCCTCCTAATCCCTGTGTTAACCAGGGGCATGAATGGCTGTAGTTTGTGGCTTTTTCTGAATCCCATTTGCTATTTTTTCTCCAATTTTAAGTGACTTCTTTTGTTCTACAAACAATACAAACAATTAGGAAGTGCAGAGAAGTGAAAAGAGCCAAAGGCTACCCTACGGTACCCATCACCCAGACATTCTTTAGTGCATCTTTCTGGACCATTGATCACCTATAGCTACAAGGCATAACTCTCTTAAAGATGAAATTTTCCAAAACCGATAACATTTGTTTTTCAGAAACGTCTGTATCAAGCACTGTGGCATATCAAATTATATACCTTTATAGTATATTTAGCTAGTACCAGAATAGGGACACCTGGGTGACTCAGTCAGTTAACGGTCTGACTTTGACTCAAGTCATGATCTCACAGGTTGTGGGTTTGAGCCCATGTCAAGCTCTGTCCTGACAGAGCGGAGCCTGCTTGGGAGTCTCCCTCTCCTTCTCTCTCTGCTCTACCCCAATCATGCTTTCTCTCCCTATCTCTCTTTAAATAAATAAATAAATAAATAAACTTAAAAAAAAAAACCCTAGTACCAGTGTAACATTGTTTGAAAGTCCCATGGTTTATTGAGACTGTCTCTTACTCACCTGTGGTTCCATTATTTCATGTTTGTTTGCCGTTACACATTATGTCATGTGGGCACCTCTGAAGGTCCCACCGTGCACTCTTGGGGGGTTATGTCTTAGGACAGATTTCTAGAAACAGAATGACTGTGCCTGACCCTTAGGGCCAGGGCGCCCCAAAAATGATTGTTCTGCAGGCGACTTTAGACCTGTTAGCTCTTGGTGGATCAGCAGAGCGTGGCAGGAGTGGGGGTGGGGGTAAGGTGGGCAGGAGTGGCCCCCGGGGTCAAGCACATCAGATGCGTCTGCTTTCTGTCCCCAGTCTGACGCTGATAACCATGGGCCTTCAGGGGAGCTACAGTACTCTCAGACCCCCAGTTTTCTCCGCTGCCAAATAACCTTGAGGGTTGAACAAGGTGACCTTCTTGAGGTTATTATCAGCATGGATCCAGATGCCGAGTAGAGGCTAGCTGTTATAAAATACCCCCGGCCTCTGTAAATAAGTAAGGTCCTTACGTATGTCTACATAAGAAGACTTTGCTGAGGACTGAGAAATGCTTCCAAGAATGATTTGTCAGGCAGGGCACCTGGGTGCCTCACCTGGGGAGGTGTCTGACTCTCGAGCTCCGCTCAGGTCATGATCTCACCACCAGTGAGTTCGAGCCCCACGTCAGGCTCTGCGCTGACAGAGCGGAGCCTGCCTGGGATTCTCTCCCTCCCTCTCCCTGCCCCTTCTCCGCTTACACTCACTATCTCAGAATAAATAAATGGACTTCTAGAAAATTAAAAACAAAAAAGAAGGATTAGTCAGGAGGAAGAGTCCTTGCAGGTGATTGGATTAACTCCGAGGTTGGGAGCCGCCCCTCACCCCCTCTTTCTGTGCTGTCCCTGCTTAAGGAGGAAGATGAAGGCTCGCGCTCCCCCTCCTCCTGGAAAGCCCGCCACCCAGAATGCACAAGGTGGGCAGATGCCTCGCCGAGATGTGTCCCCTGGCCCTTCGCAGAGCCTGCTGCACGTTAAGGAGAACCTGGAGAACAGCTCGGTGGCCGTCACCGTGGTCCTGCCCAGCGGGCTGGAGAAAAAGAGCGTGGTCAGCGGCAGGTAAGGGCAGAGAGGTCCCTGCCATCCAGCCGCGGGGCCCGGGAGAACCGAAAAGTGGATCCTGACAGGCTGCACGTGCTCCCTTGTCAGGCAGGATCTGGGGCCCTGGGGGTACGGATCTGGGCCTTAGTGACAATGTGGAATGACCGTGTGCCACCTGGCCACACCACGGGTCACCTTCCTCCTTAGAGAGCAAGGGCTGCGCAGCTCGTTCCTGGGGGAGGGCGAGCTCGGAGGGGTGGGGGGGCGCGGCAGCACCCTGAGTCCTCACCAGCATCCTGGGCACTGAAGTTACACAGCCAGGGCAGCCCTCGGAGTGTCTGCTGCCGGTCTGGCCCCTGGACGTCCAAATACATGCATCAGATTTCCAAATACATCTTCCAGAGCAAGTTTACACTGATGGTTCCAAAACCCAACCCATGGATTTTAAATTTTAATTATTTTTTTAAAATATTTATTCACGCTTGAGAGACAGAGAGAGACAGAGCATGAGCTGAGGAGGGACAGAGAGAGAGGGAGACACAGAATCCGAAGCAGGCTCCGGGCTCTGAGCTGTCAGCACAGAGCCTGATGCGGGGCTTAAACCCACGAACTGTGAGATCATGACCTGAGCCAAAGTCAGATGCCCAACCCACCAAACCATCCAGGCGCCCCATGGATTTTAGATTTAAAGCAAACAGTTTCCAGCACCAAGATGCTCACCTGTATCCTTGGTGAGATATGATCTGCCCAGGGATATGCTTGAGGTCAAGGTCAAGTGCCCTTTCTTCCCATGTCAGCCACAAAAGGCAAAAGAGAGAGACTGGCAAAGCTTCCTGGGATCATAGTGTTAAGAATTTGGGTACCGACAGAATTTCTGATTTTTTTTCAAAATATCACATTGATCAATTTTGTGCTACTATTGTTGTTACTGATAACTCTGTCTATAATAACACATTTTAGCAGAGTCACGGGAACACAGGCATTAAATATCAGCGTTCATACAGTTTTCGTGATAGAGTGTGACGCAGTAATCAAGTATGGAAACTTTCAAGCGTAAAGAGAGATTTGTCTAATGCCGAGGCAGAAGTGAATAGAAGTCATAGTTCTCGGAAAACAAGGAGAACAAGAAGTGATTGAACATATTTCAATCCTTTGACGCTCAGATACACTTTTGAAAATGGATAATAGTGGAAATCACGTCACTATGGGTGGCTTTTATTCTTGGAAATGCATTGAAAACAGCAATGGAACACTTTTTTTTTTTTTTTAAGTTTATTTACTTAGAGAGAGTGCTTGAGTGAGCAGGTGGGTAAGGAGCAGAGCGGGGAGGGGGGCTGGAGGGGGGAGAGAGACAAACAGGGAGAGAGAATCCCAAGCAGGCTCCAAACTGTCAGTGCAGAGCCCAATGTGGGGCTCAAGCCCATGAACCATGAGATCATGACTTGAGCCAAAATCAAGAGTCAGATGCTTAACCCACTGAGCCACCCAGGCACCCCTGGATCACTTGTACTTTAAAATGTCAGTATTTAGGGGTCGTCTGGCTGGCTCAATCGGTTGAGTCTCTGACTTCAGCTCAGATCATGATCTCATGGTTCATGGGTTCAAGCCACATGTTGGGCTCTGTGTTGACAGCTCAGAGCCTGGAGCTGCTTCAGAGTCTGTGTCTCCCTCTCTCTCTCTGCCCTTCCCCTGCTTGCTCTCTCTCTCAAAAATACATAAACATTAAAAAATTTAAAAAGAAGCTGTGAATGTTTACGGTGTCCTACCCTATGAGTCTGTAGTTAAGTGTATAACTACAGATTGGTGTGTGTGTGTGTGTGTGTGTGTGTGTGTGTGTGTATGTTTCACGTGAAACCTCAGCCCCTATCAATCCACTTACGGATTTTTTAGGAAAGTGGCCTCGTGAGTCCTGCTTTGATACCCTCATACGTGGGGCCAGTTTTGCAAATGCATGCATAGCAGCAGGATGCCTGCCAGAGAAGCACAAATATATTTTGAATAATAAATATTTTTATTATTAAAAATAAATTTTTTAATTAAAAAGTTTAATTAAAAAGAAAATTAAAAGAAAATAAGCCATTTTCTTTTTCTTTATATTTAAATTTTTTTTTCATGTTTATTTTTGAGAGGGAGAGAGGCAGGGTGAGAGGCGGCAGAGAGAGAGGGAAACACAGAATCTGAAACACAGACTCTAAGCACAGAATCTGAGCTGTCAGCACAGAGCCCGACGTGGGACTCGAACCCATGAACCGTGAGATCATGACCTGAGCTGAAGTCGGACGCCTAACCAACTGAGCCCCCCAGGCGCCCCTTTTTCTTATGTTTATTTTATTTATTTTGAGAGAGAGAGAGAGCGCACACACGCACATGAGTGGGGGAGGGATAGAGAGAAGGGAGAGAGAGAATCCCAAGGAGACTTCTCACCTTCAGCACAGAGCCCATTGCAGGGCTCGAACTCACAAACCATGAGATCATGACCTGAGCCGAAACCCATAGTCAGACACTTAACGGACTCAGCCGCCTGGGCGGCCCTGAAAACCATTTTCAAACTGAACACATTCTTCAAATTTTATCTTTAAACTGTTTTCTTCCTTACAAGGTAGAAACTACCACTGGGTAGCTTGGCAGTGTGGCCAGGAGAATACGGGCAGCCTTAACGATGGCACATGGAAACGCTTTCCTCTTTCCCGGCAGTGAGGAGTAATCCCCTCTCCCAGGCCTCCTGCGGGATTAAGTGAGTCTGAACAGCAGCCGTGGGCTTCCTTAACTGGGTCCCTGGCATCATGACGATGCTGAGACAGCAGCTGCGTGCTTGGGGACTTGGTTTTATGTGTCCTTCTCTTTAATGACACCTGAGTGGGGTGAAGTCCTATTCCGGACCCTTGCTTAAAATAGATGTACTGATCGTTCATCGATGTGGTTTCTCTCTTCGGTTTTATTAGAGAACATGGGTCCTACTTCACGGGACAAGCAAGCAGTTTATAAGTTAGAATCAGCCCCGTAACTAGGCTTTTTCCTGATCGGAGAGATTCTCTTTGAGAGAGCATTAGTTAATTGCAGTCTGATGATGGCATTCTGCATGTGTCTGATTTTTTTCTTTTTTCTTTTCTTTGAGCTTCCTTTGGATATAGAAACTTAAATAAATGACCCAGTCTGTTCTCACAGAAATTATGACGACCTGAGAATTCTTGCTCTGGGCCATTCTCTTTTTGTTTTTTAAGTTTAATTTTTAGGGAAAGCTAAAAATTGCGGAGGGGCAGAGAGAGAGAGAGACAGAGAGAGAGAAAATTCCAGGCACGTTCCATGCTCAGCATGGAGCCTGACGCAGGGCTCAGTCTCACAAACCGTGAGACCATGACCTGAGCCAAAATCGAGAGTCGGTCGCTCCACTGACTGAGCCACCCAGGCGCCCCTGTTCTGGGCCATTCTTAAGGGAAATGCTGAGGTATATGTTTAGGAATGGCGATACCAGCATGGCACGCAGAGGGTGAAGGAGACCACTAATTCAGCTCTGTCACTCTGGTTGGGGCATGTTAACGAGATCTCTGAAAAGACAATGCCCTGCGCCGAAGGAGAGCTTCCCAAACCATGACAGCCTCTAGAATGTTGGGACTGTGTTTCTTGACGTGGGAAATTCGGTCCAAGTTGGTACAGAAACCCAAGGGGCCCCCTGGGGCAGGAAAAGGCAGACATTCTCTTTGCAGAACACAGGAAATCTCCCTTGGAATTCATTCCTGCAATTCTTCCCGCTGGGCCATCGGACCTCCTTCATGGTAGACCCACTCACAACAGTTTGGGGGCTTCCAGGCCCCCGGCGCTTATAAAACAGCACAGGCTTTCTGGGGAGAGCATACCTGTTCCAAGGTAGAGGGTGGGGGGGGCGCTGTGAGCCACTGTCAGCTCTGGGGTGTCCTTCGTCCCCCGCCCACGTCACCGGGGGTGTTGGTAAAGCTTCCTGCTAGGAACCTCATGGCCCTAGGAGCCGAAGGAAGCCTGTTCTTCTCTGCCGCTCAGCGAGCTACGGGGGTGGCGTTCGAAGGGCCAGTTAGGGTTCTGGGCAGTGGGCCAGAAGAAGGCGGCTCGCTGAATAGCTGGCCGACAAGTTGGTTTGGTTGAGCTGATATATATTTTTGTGTGAGGAATATGAATATCTTCTTTTAGAACACTTCGATTCTTCCAGAACAGTTGTAACTCCCAACCCATATTGAGAGGAAAGCACAGAGATTTCCCAGTCACCTCTGCCCTCCTCCACTCACAACCTCACCCTGTTATCTACACCACCCCACCCACCATCAAGTGGGATGCTCCTTATAATCGGTTAAGCCTGCCTGGACACATCAACATCTCCCAAAGTCAGTGTCTTGATGGACCATCTTTCTTTTTTTTTTTTTTTAATTTTTTAATATTTATTTATTTCCTTCTGAGAGAGAGAGAGACAGAATCCGAAGCAGGCTCCAGGCTCCGAGCCGTGAGCACAGAGCCTAACTCAGGGTTTGAACACGGGAACAGCAAGATCATGACCTAGGCTGAACTCAGCCACTTAACCGACTGAGGCCACCCAGGTGCTTCTCAAAACAGTTTTTAAAGTGTATACACATTTGGAGGGTAATATTTTTTAAATTCTTTTTTTCATGTTTATTTTTTGAGAGAGAGAGAGAGGGAGAGAGAGAGCAGGGGAGGGGTAGAGAGAGAAGACACAGAATCCCAAGCAGGCTCCAGGCTCCAAGCTGTCAGCACAGAGCCCGTCATGGGGCTCGAACCCACAAGCTGTGAGATCATGACCTGAGCCGAAGTCAGACGCTCAGTTGACTGAAGCCCCCAGGCAGCCCTTTGTACTGAGGCTTTGCAGTGGAATGTCCTCACATCTCAGAGCCTTTTTCTTGAGTTGCGTTAAGCTCGCTGTTGGAATGAAGATGACATTTGCCCCGGAGCTGAAGGAGTTCAGGTTGACAGTGTCATTAGCTGGTGTGGCTGTGTGTCCTGGGGCACCTATGAGCGTGGGCACTGTGTCAGTCCCACAGATGCCCCATCAGAGTCCCAGGTGCCAGGAGCCTCCTGAATTCAGGTGATGCCAGTGTCTTCGGGTGTCCCCCAGATTCACACACATGCTGTCGGTTACTTCCTAGATAGTAGACGGAGCAAATACCATCATAGAGATGGCTTTAAAAAGTTGTTTTGGGGGCACCTGGGTGGCTCAGTGGGTTAAATGTCCAACTTCACCTCGGGTCATGATCTCACCATTTGTGGGTTCGAGCCCTACGTCGGGCTCTGTGCTGACAGCTCAGAGCCTGGAGCCTGCTGCAGATTCTGTGTCTCCCTCTCTCCCTACCCCTCCCCTGCTCACACTCTGTCTCTCTCTCTCTCAAAAATAAACAGTTTTAAAAAATAAAGAAATCAGAGGAAAGACTGATGCTTTTTGAAAGGTGTGTATGCTCCCCATTGCTTGGGAAATTTTGAGAAAGAGAGGTCAGCATTCTGCCAGGCAGATACAAAAGAGGCAAATGAAATTCTTTGGAGTAATCCACATTGTTACTCTCCTCTCATGGTAAGTAGTTCCCTGTGGTGGGGGACATTATGAAAATCTCTGACATTCAAACAAGGTTATTTTCTTAGTTGTTGTTTGTTTGTTTGTTTGGGTTTTTTTTTTTTTTTTTTGTCTTTAAAAAGACATGCTTTTTTTTCAGCTATCATCTTCAATTTATAATCTTCAGTTTTTAAGATACATTATAATTTTGAATAGCAGAAAATTTAGTCTTCAGTGATCTCACTTGTGCTAACTGACCTTCTAGGATTCAGTTCAACATATGCACGGATTTAGCTACAAATATAGCTCTTTTCCCCAGCTCTTATGGGTTTGATCTACCAATCACTCCTTCAGTTCTGCTGTTTACTAGTGTTGCAAATGTTACCATGGCGCCGTACAGTCATGCGTCAGGAATTCACGAGCAGTCGTTGCCCTTGATAAGCATGCCCAGATTGAGGATTGCACATTGACCTGCTGGTTCGTGTGTCTGACCCTTCCTAAGCTTGACCGAAGGGACAGTGCCAACATTCCTAACTACTGTGGTTTCTTTCCCTTTTCCAGCCACGCAATGATGGACCTACTGGTTGAACTTTGCCTTCAGAACCACCTGAATCCATCCCACCATGCCCTTGAGATCCGGTCTTCGGAAACCCAACAGCCTTTGAGTTTTAAGCCAAATACTTTAGTTGGGACCCTGAATGTGCACACTGTATTTCTCAAAGAGAAAGTTCCTGAAGAGAAGGTTAAGCCTGGCCCACCTAAGGCACCTGAGGTCAGTAGGATGAGGGGACCCTTTGTCACCTGAGGACGTAGGCACATAGGCGGACACCTGTGGCCCAGGTGTTGATGAAGGGGGCTGGTGGAACCCCTCTTATCTAAGTAACACATGCAGACAGCTGTGGGTGAAATTTCTACTTTTGCACTAGACAAAGCGAGGCCCTAAACTGAATTTCTTTTAGAAGATGGAAGTACACCGAGCTTAATAATATTCATGGTTGTAACTTTGCTCCCTTGGATGTTACAGAATAGGAATCAGTCTAGCCCAGAGCCATCCACTGGAACTTTCTACACAGATGGAAATGGTCTGTCACGTTGCAGATTCCAAGATGGCCGACCTTGGTCTCCTGTTGCTATTAAGTGGGTGCAATGGAAACTAGTGTGATTGAGAAATTGAGCTTTTAATTGTATTTAATTTTAATCCATTGACATTTAAATAACCCCAAGGAGTCAGGGGCTACCTTGTTGAACTAGAGATCTAGAGAATTGTTCTAGAAAGTCCTTGGTCTTCCAGTCCAAGGAAGCTATGGGGTATAGGGAAGATTTGAACTTCTTCCGAGACAGAGGAAAAACGTGTTGTCCCTCTTGAGAAACTGATGTCCAAAATTTTTACTCAATGCACTTGGACACTATCTCATACACAAATTTATTTCAGGCTCTTGGTTATTGGTTAACATGAACTTCAGCTGCTTATGGTACATCTTTTTAATTAACTTATTTATTTTGAGAGAGAGAAAAAGAGAGCGCAAGCAGGGGAGGGGCAGAGAGAAGGAGAGACAGGATCCCAAGCAGGCTCCGTGCCATCGGCGCAGAGCCTGACGCGGGGCTCAAACTCACAAACCGTGAGATCATGACCTGAGCCGAGATCAAGGGTCGGGTGCTGAACTGACTGAGCCCCCCAGGTGCCCCTGTTTATGGTACTTTTGAATAAAGCTTTGCTGTGACTCTTTTAGCTCCATTGGAGAGCTTTTAGATTCTTGGAATATCTACCTACTTTTTCCGCTTTTAAAAATGACAGTTTGGCCAGCAGTTCATCTTCTATACGTTTCTAGGTTTGGGTGGTTAATAAATTATGATTGGTGACATTAATACTCTGGAAAGGGGCATGGATCCAGCTAACTCTTTACTCAGCACACACATACTGGCTCTGCTCTTCAGGGCCTTCAGAAAATGTCAGGTCAGTATAGGCCAAGAAAAAATTGCCTGCATGAAACTTTGGCATATTTTTTTTTTGATGGGCCCATTTATCAACAGACATTTAGAATCAGGTTTAGTCCAACCGATTGGTTTTTTTTCTGATTATAGCACCTATCATTCTACGTTTATTATACGTATATGTCTCTTTTATGCCTGTTATATTTTTTCAGCTTAAGTATATGTGTAGCATATATACAAAAATATATATATACACGGGCATACATACACATTGTATGTATTTATAGAGATGGTAACATTTATGTGGCTCTTTGGCTATTTAAACAAAAATTTGATATCTTGGGTTTTTTTAGGATTTTTCTTTAAATTGAATTGTTCATGATACTTTCAAACTTTTCATTTAGAAATTATGTACAAGTGCCTTGTGTTCAGGTCTGTTTGGGATCCTTGAGGGAGACTTAGGCATAGGTGTTGAATTATAAATCAAGACTCCGTCAAGATGCCAATTTCCCTGTGTTGTTGGCAGTTGGTTCCTTAGTGAGCGATTCTATGGTAAGTTGTTTGTTCCGGGTATGCCGTTCCCCCCCACGACCCACCGAGTTTTGGAAGAAGAGCTCAGGCTACACCAGATCTTGCCATCCTCCATTCTAGCCACACCAACAGAGGTTGAAGCCGTGCGCAAACACACTCACAGAATTCTTTCCCTCCGGTTACATTCTTCCAGAAATCTGTGCGCTTGGTAGTGAACTACCTGCGAACACAAAAGGCTGTGGTGCGTGTGAGCCCCGAGGTACCGCTCCAGAACCTTCTCCCGGTCATCTGTGCCAAGTGTGAAGTCAGCCCCGAGCACGTGGTGCTCCTCAGGGACAACGTCGCGGGGGAGGAGCTGGAGTTGTCCAAGTCCCTGAACGAGCTGGGGATCAAGGAACTTTACGCGTGGGACAACAAACGAGGTGAGGCCGCCCTGCGTTTGTGACTCCCGCCGGGCAAGGGCTTGGGCAGGAGGCCTGCACGTCCACCGCCCGTCAGCGCTCGCAGGGCCTGAGTTTTCAGGCCGCTCGAGCTGCAATCAGAATTGAAGTAGGCAGAAAATACATTTAGTCTCTTCCTGTTCCCCTCGGTCGTGATGATGTGTCTCTCTGCCCCTATCCTGAGCACATCCTGAGCATTCCCTGCCTCCTGTGAGCTTCAGGGGCGTAAATCTAAAAAGGCTCTTGAGCAGAACTACTTGGGAAGCCCACAGGAACCAGCTTCTCTTGGGTTCCTTTTCCAGTTGCCGGGACTTGCCCCCCAAGTCTCAGACATTGCCCGTCGCCACACCAATGGAAAACCACAGTTAGGTCTTTTCTAAAACCACCCGAATTATAGTTCACGAGGTCAGTCCTTGAGAACCACCCACAAGGCCACCTGGGGCTTCCTTGGCATGGATGCTGGGGACTCCTCCCAATGTGAATTTGGTACTTGACCTGAGGGCCCCGAGCCACCAAGGAGAGAGGCTGCTCAAAAGGCCACTCGCGGCTACCACAGAGACTGGTAGGAGTGTGAGCAGATTTCCCTGATTGACATAAAGGGCTGACTGTATCAAAACAGCTGTCAGACCAAAATAAATCAATGAATGAGTGAGTGAGAAAAAGAAATACATCATCCTTGACTTTAGAACTTATTGTGAGGCTCATTTGATCTCTGTGGCCTTTTATTTATTCTACAGACACTGAGTGGGTTGGGTTTGGAAAATATAAACCTATTTTGTTTTTTCATGGTTTTCTTCAGTTTCCTTCAAATTCTTCTGGGGAAATCTGTTTCTCTTATTACTGATGTCATTGCGAAATCACTGATCATCACGGGATCTCTCTCCTCTGCCAAATCTCCCACAGGTTTCTGGCTCCCAAGTCTCATTTTTCACTTGAGGAAGGGTTTTAGCTCAGCCACATGTAAGATGCATAGATTATTTATTCCTGCAAAAAATTAAAAAACAAAAGGAAAAAAGAAAGAAAGGAAAGCAAAGAAAAGCTGTCCCCCACAAATACGTGAAAGCAAAAAGCTTACACAAACACACGTTTCGGTTATATGTCAGTCATTAGCTCTATGTGATGGGGCCCTAGCACCCTCCCCAGAAAATAAAGGAGTAACAGCCGACATGGGCATGGTGGGTGACAGACTCCCACCCAGGGGCCAGGATCTGTTTCATCTGGACCCTTCAGTGCCGTGTGCCATGCCGGTTGTGAAGCGTTTGATTATCATCCCCGCCAAACGCCTCTATCCCAGCCAGCAGTCAAGTATTTGGGAAGAAAGGAGAATATTCCGGAAGACGTCTGCAGGGAGCTCTTTCACTTGGGCCCTCTTGCGTTACGTCCCCTCCCCAGCTGGCAGCTGCTCCAGAGTGGACGGGGGCCAAGCCGGAGGTGGTGTGTTGCTAGGCAGGGGCCCCCCACTTCTGGAATTCCCGGCGGTTGGCAGCCTGGAAAAGCAGAAGGCTTTGCTGCCACCTGCTTCCGCAGGAGCGCTTAGTGGCCCCGCAGCTGCGGGCTGGGAATGGGGGGTGGGGAGGGGCTGGGAGTGCAGCCCGCTGGGCACTGGGCCCCTCTCCTGCAGGGGCACAGACAGCCCCCCGCCCGGGGCTTACGGAGGGGCGAGCCGTGCTCGCAGACCGGGAGGCTCGCCCTCACTCTCTCCTTGCCTGCTTTTTCCAGTTCTTCTGACCAAAACTCAGTCGGAGCCTTCCCTGAGCTGCCAAGGTGAGCCCGCAGGTGTGCTCCCACTCGGCCGGCCGGATTCTGCATGGCTCTGGGCTCTGACGGTGCATGCAGGTGCATCCGTGTGCAAGCGTGCCATGCAGGACCTCCAGGGTGCCTCTGGCCACTGAAACAAGGCTTTGGTTCGGTGTCCCGAGTCCCTGGTTGCCTAGGAGAAGAATGCCCCTTGTGTGGGATGTGCTCTGTGGGTCCAACCGCAGAGGAGCAAAGGAGGCTGTTGCAGAACGTGGGTTCTTTGGGAGCACACAGTTTCAGGGCAGCACAGAAGTGGCACTTGCGGAAGACGCACTGTTTTCCTTTTCCCCTGCGCTCCCCTGAGCCCTCAAGGTCCATCCTGTCTGCTGCAGAATTTGAGGCAGTGGAGAATGTGAAGCCTAATCTTTTCTGTCGTAGGAAAGTATATACATGATCATTCTGGCTTTTGCATTCTTTCTGACACTTACTATACACTTTACATTTGCTCATCTATACCTATATTTACACGTACATGCACATGTATACGTAGATACATACAGTCACATATATATTGGAATTTTTTTAAATGATTTTATTTATTTATTTTTGAGAGAAAGAGACAGAGTGCATGAGCAGGGGAGGGGAAGAGAGAGAGGGAGACAAAGAATCTGAATCAGGCTCCAGGCTCTGGCTGTCAGCACAGAGCCTGATACGGGGCTCGAACCCACATACTGTGAGATCATGACCTGAGCCTAAGTCAGATGCTTAACTGACTGCGCCACCCAGGCATCCCTATATATTGGAATTTATGTGAACTTTTTGAACTATACACACACACACACATACACACACACGCACACACAAGTTCATTCAAATCCCAATGAGTATTTGTCATTTGCATACAACACTTTAATGACACAGAACTTGGCATGGGTCTGCAAGCTCAGCCCGTGGGTGTCACGTCTGACAGTGCTGTGGCCCAGGCCACCCCGCATACCCCTCATCTGCTGTGATTTACTCCATCGTGCCTTGCACACAAGTATTGCCGACAGATGGGTCCTCTCCTAAGGAGCATGGTGAATGGTCATGGTTCAGAGCAGGACACACCTGTACGTGGCGGCTTCCTCAGTTCACGTGGGTCTGATCAGGGGCAATGGGCACACCGAGACCAGCACAGCCCAGATGGCGCTGTGTACACAGGCTTGTGACATGCCGCACGTTTGTGGACACAGGCCTGGATCTCCTTACCTGGAGCTTACTGGCTTGCGCCTGTGCTGTGGTCACTGACCAGCCCTGATCTTCTGTTTTTCTCATCCGGAAGGTACGGTTTGGAAGAGCCGGTATTTCCAGGCCCCTGAAGCCCCATTCCATCCCCCACGCCCCCACACACTGCTCAGTTCATCTCTGTTGTTCTCCAAATAACATTAACGCCTCGGAGCACTGTGTGCATTCTTAGAGATGAAGCATGTCCTCCCCAGAACTTTAACTCGTGTTTAACTTCTAGTAAATCAGCATAAACCAGAAGAAAATAGGTTTCGGGCTCAAATTGTGAGCTTGGAAGCAGGGAGTGTATGTGTTCTCCCAGCCGGGCTGTGCGTCCGTGGTAAGTCACTGGCTGTGATGCGTGGTGGGCACCTGTCCACGGGAACACTGAGAAACACCCAGGGCTGGTGCTCCGACCTTCTGCCTGATCTACTGGGGCCCAGAGGCCTCCCAGAAGGCGCCTCTCAGCACAGAGTCACCAGTCCCTCGCCTCCATACCTGAGACCAACTGTCTGGGGGCCCCACTGCCTCCAGACAGTCCACACCTGTGGCCACACGAGAGAGAGCCGGTTGGATCGCTGCCGGCAGCTCTGGTGTTTGGGCCGCCCCTCGGCCTCCAGTCTTGCAGACTTGGTGACCAGCCTCTGCTGCTGTTCAGGGAGAGAAATAGAAGCTCGATTCTGCGACAGTTTCCTGATCCGTCTGTTGTGTCTGTGGTTGGCGGAATAGCCTATGTGCCAGCCACATGCTCCCTGTCCTGTTCACCTGCTGGGTTCTAGCATATCACGGGTTTCACCACATCCGTGTCACACGCCCCTTGATTCTAGACACGCGATCGGTTATAAATACACCTGCTGATGCCCACTGTCACTCCCCTCCGTGTAGCGTAGCACAGGGCACCCTTCATAGCTCGGTGCCTGGAGTGGCGGGTTTTGTGCCATCAGCCAGGAAACCTGTGTGCACACGCGTGTGTGTGTGGATGCATGCCTCATGATCGGAGCTGCTCGCTCACCGATCTGGGTCAGAGGGCACCAGGGGCTCAGCTGGAGTCGCCTGCACGCACAAGGCCTGGGCCTTGGTACTAAAACCCAGACCTTTGCTGCTCCCAGAACAATTTAAGGAATGGAGGTGCTGGGGTTTGACTTCACTGGAGAGGCAGAATTCACGTTGATGCGCTTGCTACTAACATACTGAGTGTTCTGTGTGCTATTTATTTTTTTTATTTATTTTTTAATGTTTTACTTATTTCTGAGAGAGACAGTGTGAGCAGGGGAGGGTCAGAGAGAGAGGGAGACACAGAATCCAAAGCAGGCTCCAGGCTCTGAGCTGTCAGCACAGAGCCCGATGCGGGGCTCGAACCCACAAACCGTGAGATCATGACCTGAGCCAAAGTCGGACATTTAACCTACTGAGCCACCCAGGCGCCCTTGTATGTGCTCTCTAATCGGAAGATGAAATTTTAGGCCAGCAGATAAAGAAGTTAGGCCTGCTGCTTACCTTGTTTTGGTTGATGTTCCGATGGCAGACCGTACGATCCTGTCCACATTTTCCTACCTGTGGGTTGGCAGTCAGGCTCTCCAGCAGCTGGCCATGGTCCCGGGAAATTCATCTTTCCATCCCTCAGGAGCACCCCAATTCCCCCCTCCCCACTTGCCATGTCAGAGGGCCTTGGAAGAGCAGAAAAGCATGAGTTCATGACAGAGGCCTGGAGTGGCCTTTGGAGAGTGGCCGTCAGAGACGTTGGGGATGCCATGCGTACCAGGCGGTTATCTGATTCGGCGCCCCCCCAGCTCCCCCACCCCCGCCGCAGAGGAGGAAGCCGGCGAGGCATGCCCTCAGCGCTCCTGACCTGGGTTCAGCAGGTTCTCAACCACAGCCCTGCACCAAGGAGGGGGGAGGAGGGAGTGAATGCAGGCGCTGGGCCCCACCCTGGAGGCAGGGGTCTGGAGCTGGCCTAAGTCCTCCCTGACGCCGATACAGCCTGTCCGTTATCACCCTTGATGGTGCTGCCAGCTGCCTGAAAAGCCTGGGCCTCGACGTCCCCGTCTGGGACATGGTGGGGGCTCCTGGAGAACGTAATCGGGAAGAACGACATTCGGGTTGAGTTGTGGAAGGCAGACCTGGAAACGCGAATCCTGGAAGATCATAGATGGTTCTCTCAGATACTGCCTGGGCAGACCATCAAGGCCAGTCCATGTTATGGAAGCGACTGGCCTTCTTCAAGCCAGAAGGCTGTTGATTTATTTATTTAGTTAGCGTTTTCACCTCACTCATAATTTTCAGGCAGATGTTTAACACAGATGTCCCCGCCCCAGTCACGTGTGGCTCTCGGGCACTTGAAGTGTGGCCGGTCCAAGCTGAGATGTGCGGTGTGACCTGCACACTCAGCATCAAAATGAATTTAAAAAATTTATGTTTATTTTTGAGAGAGAGAGACAGAGCATGAGCAGGGGAGGGGCAGAGAGAGAGGGAGACACAGAATCCGAAGCAGCTCCAGGCTCTGAGCTGTCAGCACAGAGCCCGATCAAGGCTCGAACCCACTGACCCTTAGATTGTAACTTGAGCCAAAGCCAAATGCTTAACCGACTGAGCCCCCCATGCACCCCAGCACCAAAGTGAATTTAAAATGTTTCATTAAGGGGGCACTTGGATGGCTCAGTCATGATCTCATGGTTCATGAGCCCCCCACTCGTGAGCCCCCTGTATCAGGCTCACTGTCAGCACAGATCCCTCTTCAGATCCTCTTCCCCCTCTCTCTCTGCCCCTTCCCTGCTCTCTCTCTCTCAAAAAAAAAGTTTCATTCATAATTTTTCTCTCAATTATGTGATGGCATGATAATATTTTAGCAGTATTGGATTAAACAGAACACATTATTAATATCGCACACCTGGTTCTTTTTCATGTAGCTACTAGTGAATATAAAACAGTATGTGTAGTTCACTTTATTTTTCCAGCAGACAGTTCGACCCTAGAACTTCTTGATTTATTTATTTTTGTTTTTTGTTTTTTTCATTCATGCACAGGGCTCAATCCCACTCAGAGAAAAACGCCACCCAACTCACCGAAGATTGTGAGAACCTTTAGTGATTTTGTAAATGGGACTTGGAGGCATTGAGGTGGCTTGAAATGCTTTTTTTTTATTAAAAATTTTTTTTCATTTATTTATTTTTGAGAGAGAGAGAGAGAGAGAGGGACAGAGTGTGAGCAGGGAAGGGGCAGAGAGGGAGACACAGATCTGAAGCAGCTCCAGGCTCCCAGCTATGAGCACAGAGCCTGACACCAGGCTCGAACCCACAAACTGTGTGATCACAACCTGAGCTGAAGTCAGACACTTAATGGACTGAGCCCCCCAGGCGCTCCTCGAAGTGCTTTGAAAGAAACGGTGTTTTGACTGTCCTATAAAAACCAAAATAAAGTTTAAGGGTGGAGGATTCATTTGTCGAGATTTTTTTTTTAATATTTTTATTTATTTCTAGGAGAGAGAGAGAGACAGCGTGAGCAGGGGAGGGCCAGAGAGAGAGGGAGATACAGACTCTGAAAAAGGCTCCAGGCTCTGAGCTGGCAGTCAGCACAGAGCCCGACGCGGGGCTCGAACCCACGAACAGCGAGATCATGACCTAAGCGAAAGTCGGACGCTTAACCGACTAAGCCGCCCAGGCGCGCCGTCGAGATTTTTAAAGTGTGCGGTTCCTTCTCGTTCCGTAGGTTGATGATAACGATACTTTTCTTTTCTCCGCAGAAACCTTTAGAAAATCATCGCTTGGCAACGACGAGACAGATAGAGAGAAGAAAAAGTTTCTGGGATTTTTCAAAGTTAATAAAAGGAGCAGTAGTAAGGTAATGGACCGAACACACGGATGATTCCGCATTGTGTAAAAATAGTGGCTTCAGATGTTTGTACTACCCGTATCTTGGAATTTTTCTAAATAGTTTTAGGAATATTCGTTTCTTCCGGTGAAAGGGAACTTACTTATATGCAGTGAAGTGACTGGAAGCATCCGGACCTGATTGTGGAATCAAGCAGGGTGATAATTTTGCATTTGCTGGCGGGACACACGGCCACGAGCCCTCCTGTGCGGGCACATGCATGGCACCCGTGTCGGAAAGGTGTGTTTTGCTGATCCCTGGTGCCTTCTGCTTCCTAGTCAGCGAGATTAAAAGGACAAAACCAGTCTGGCCAATGTGGGGCCCTGATTCCGTGTTTGTGTTCTGTTCTGGGCACGGGGGAAGGGCAGCCTGGCGTCGCTGGGAAGCCCCTCAGCCAGCACGGCCCTGAGCGCCAGTGTGTCGCGTGTCCCCCGTTCTGGGGGCTGAGGGCTGGGACCACTCGCACCCCTTTGCCGATGAGGACGGGGAGCACGCAGAAGTCGTGGTGCTCAGGGTCCGGGCTCACTCCGGGCCGGACAGGCTGTGACACCCCCGGCCGTGGTGGCTCCTGGTTCAGAGGGGGGAGGACGCTGAGCTCCAGGGAGAAGGCGGGGGTCCGGGTGGGGCTCAGGAGCTCGAAGCAGCACACGCAGGGCTCGTTGCTCTCTTCCTGTGTCCTGGTGCTTTCGTTTCGGTTGTGGATCTCTTCTTGTTTGTGGTCACACGCGCTCTCCCTCAGGCCTGCGGGTGGCCTTCGAAAATCCGTGCTCAACCTACTTCTCTTAGATCCCTTGTGCTTTGCTTTTCCCCAACCTGAATTTCCTCCCAGCCCCTCCTCTCTCTCCCCCTCCTCCTTTCTCTCCCCTCCCCCTTCCTCCTCTCTCTCCCCTCCCCTCCTCACCCTCTCTTCCTTTCCCTCCTCTCCCCCCTCCCCTTTTCTCTTCCCTCCCTTTTCCTTTCTCTCCCCCCTCCTCCTTTCATTCCCCTATCCTTCCTCACCCCTTCTTCTTTTCTCTCCCCTCCCTCCTCACCCCTCCTCCTTCCTCTCCCATTCCCTTCCCTTTCTCTTCCTCCCCTCCCCTCCCTTCCCTTCTTTCTGGCCAGGTCAGGATTACTTGAAATTGCAAATTTACACTTTTGCATTTGACGTTCCCTTCACTCTATAGACGCGGGGTGTCTGGGTTCCAGAAATTTGGGAGGTCCCGCTCTCCAGGCCCGCATTCCTCACTGCCCTGCTGGATCCTGGCGGAACCAGGGCCCAGTAAAACCTACGGTTTCCTCACACCGACATCTCAGGGCCCTCTGGAGTCGCACTCCTTTGGACAAAAGGGCCTGCCAGCACAGCCAGTACAAAATCGAGAAATGCTCCTATTTTAAGCAAACTAAGATCGCCTTTGGCTGCTTGGCTTAGGCCACCACCGGGGAAGACACCAAGGCTGCGAGACCCTTGCTGCCCTGGCGTCTCGGCGCCCCCTCCGGCAGGCAGGGATCGGGCTGCCTCTCCCACGCCTCGTCTCCCCCTCTCCCTTACTTTATGTGGCTTTGCCCTGGGCTCCTCTCACCCGGTCGCAGGCCCTCTCCTTGCCGCGTGATCTCTCGTGTTGGGTCCCAGCCTCCCCATGCCTTGCTCCTCTCCGCTTCCTGGTTTGACGGGCTGTGCCAAGTGCAGCGTCGCCTCACCTGGACACCTGCTGAGGGAGGTAGCGTGCAGCCTCTCACACAGGCGGGGGCGGGGGGCGGGGAGGCAGGCTGTGTGCCTCTGAGCTGACCCTGGGGCCGGTGACGGCCCGCGTTCACACTGGCCTGTCCGTCCAGAGCCCGGGCCCTTCGTCCCTCATTCCCACTGTACTTGGTTCACACTTTTCTTCATTAACCCTGGGAGGGTTGGGCGAAATCATTATTTTTTTTATGTTTTTTAATGTTCTATTTATTTCTGAGACAGAGAAAGACAGAGTATGAGCAGGGGAGGGGCAGAGAGAGAGAGGGAGATGCAGAATCCAAAGCAGGCTTTAGGCTCTGAGCTAGACGTGGGGCTCAAACCCACAAACTATGAGATCATGACCTGAGCCAAAGTCGGATGCTTAACCAACTGAGCCCCCCAGGCGCCCCGGGCAAAATCATTATTTAAGTGAGTCCTAAAATGTTAGGGTGCCAGATAATCTACAGATGTCTCGATAGAACAGAACACCAAGAACGGAGAAATGTCAAGGCAATTTGAAGCTAATGTAGGTCTTCATGCTGTCTCCTTAAAGCAAAAAATGTGTGTGTGTGTGTGTGTGTGTGTGTGTGTGTGTGTGTGTAATCTCAACAGATATACTTAAGGGATAGCATTTTGGCTGAAGTAGCTGAGAGCACATATCTTTCCTTATTTTAAAGCTTTGGTATTTTAGGGGCGCCTGGGCGGCTCAGTCCGTTGAATGTCTGACTTTGGCTCAGGTCATGATCTCACGGTTCATGAGTTCGAGCCCCGTATTGGGCTCAGTGCTGTCAGCGAAGAGCCCACTTGGGATCCTCTGTTCCCCTCTCTCCTGGCCCCTCCCACTCTGATGCTCCTTCCCTCAAAAATAAATAAATAAAATAAAACTTTGGTGATTTCATGGTTTTAAAACATGATAATTTTCTACTATTTGGGCATTATTTACCCTTGTAGCCCAGTGGTTCTGCAAAAGTACCTAAGAATCACCCTCTAGACCTAGCCTAACAATTGGACTCTTAGATCCTCTCCCCAGAGATTCTCACTGGGGGCGGGGGGGTGGGCAGCTTGAGCTGTATCTCCAGTGATTCTGTAGCTGATGACCCGCAAACCATCAGTAAACATGGTTGTGCACAGTGGGGTGAGATACCATTGTTGTTTACCTCTTGCGGACAGAGAGTGAGACATCTGGTGAATTACGTCTGCCTGCAGTCACTGAGCGGTTTCAGAAAGCCCCCAAAACCAGTGACTTAATTGGTTTCCAGAGCACTCTCAGTCAGCCCAGACCCACTACCTACTGTTTTCTTCTTGCGTGTTTTCTGAGCTGATAATATGCTTTGGGGAAAATGCAGAGAAAACACCTCCCCATGAGTCACCGATTTCACAACTGGTTTTCAGATCAGTGAGGGCTTTGGTTAGGGGCTTCTGGGCTCCTGAGCTGAGGGATGGGGCCCAAGATTCCCATCTAGCACAGAGGCTGCTGCCTTGAGCTGGTATCTGTGGCTGCAGTAATAGCAAGGAAGACCTTTTGCCTGGACTCACTTGACCTTTGACCTGGAAATGACCTGGTGCGCATCTGTGTTCCAGGCCGAGCAGATCGGGCGGTCCGGGGTGGACAGCGATGGGGACACGTCACAGCCTGCTTTGGGAAGGGGCTCGAACGTGAGTACTAACCCCACAGGGGCTTCTTGCTAACCGGGTGTGCTTCTCGCTGCTTCACAGAACCTTCTAGAAATGGAATCCTAGATCAGTCTGGTTGTTTGAGTTTTGTACTTTCAGTCTGGGTAGTGGCACAAAGCTGCACATGGCTTCTCGCATCCCTGCCCATGCTACATCAGAAACAGGCACCAGTCAGCACGATTGGGGGTCCTTGGTCAGATGAACTTGACTGAGCTTACACTCTATTGACTCGCCGACGGCTTGGGGGCCGCATGGCCCTCTTTCCTTTCCTGAATCTGCCATTTCCAAACTCCTCAACCGTGCTTCGAAAGGAAGCTTATTCAAGTTTTATTTATTTATTTTTTTAGTTTTATTTTGAGAGAGAGATGGGACAGAGGGGAGGGAGGAGAGAGAGCATCCCAAGCAGGCTCCCCACTGTCAGCACAGAGCCTGTCGGGGAGCTCGAACCCACAGACCATGAGATCATGACATGAGCCAAAGTTGGATGCTTAACTGACTGAGCCACCCAGGCGCCCCTCAAATAGTCTTTTATCTGTACCTGATTAAGTTCTCTTTCAAATCTGTCAAGGGACAAGATTTGGAAGCCATTTGACTGGTAAAGGGCTTGTTACTCAATCACCCTGGAGTTATTGACTTCTGGGAGATATAAGAAAAACCTTATCAAGATTTATCAAATAATAATTACACTCATTACTCGTAGGCATTTTTAAAAATACCATTTGAAGATTTCTTTCCTGAAGGAACAAATGTGATAGAAACAGACAAAGAAATCAAATAATATATGTGGAAGAATTTTTTAGATTATGAAGTGTTATTTCCGTAAAGGCGTATTAGATTTAGGTATGATGTAGTTGTTGAAATTGTATACATTGTTTCTACATAAAATTTAAACAGTAAAAAAGACCAGTTTGACATCATACTCTTGTTTTTATCCTTGTTATATTTTTCAGTAGTATCAAGGTAGAATTCCTAGCTGCTGAATTTTTTTTTAATTTTTATGTTTTTTTTTTAAATTTTATTTTTGAGAGAGAGAAAGACAGAGCATGAGTGGAGACAGGTAGCGAGAGAGGGAGACACAGAATCCAAAGCAGGCTCCAGGCACTGAACTGTCAGCACAGAGCCCGATGTGGGGCTCGAACCCACAGACCATGAGATCGTGACCTAAGCCAAAGTCGGGCGCTTAACCAGCTGAGCCACTTAGGTGCCCCTCCGAGCTGCTGATTTTTACTCACATGTTGATCTGGGCTATGAAGCAGCAAAGCTGACCCATTTCTTTTTATTATTTGATTGAGATATAATTGACATAGAACATCCTGATATTTACAGGCATACAACATAATGATCTGACGTATGTATGTATCATGAAATAATCACCACAGTTAGTTTAATGTCCCCACTCCCCAAGATATTGTAACTCTACATGGTGATGGATGTATAGGCATTTTCTGAACCTAATACATTATCAGTAGGGTTCAAGGAAATTGAAATATTGCCAACATTCCCTCACATTTGCCAATATAGTGGGTGTTTTTCAATTTTATTTTATTTTAGAGAGTGAGAAAGGGAGAGCACGAGTGGGCAAAGGGGCAGAGGGAAAGAAAAAGAGAATATCTCAGTGCAGAGCCCGACACGGGGCTCAATCCCACAACCCTGAGTAGCATGCCCTGAGCTAAAATCAAGAGTCAGATGTTCAACCGACTGAGCCACCCAGGCGTCCTGCCACTATAGTGTTTTTTTAATGAAATTTTAAAAACTCTTCTCTCAAATGTTAAATCGGTTTTTGTCAAGATCTTGGGTTTATAGATCTAGCCAATTCGGTTTATGGAGAATGTTTGCCCTGTAAATGAATCGGCACAGCAAGCCCTTATTTCCCAGCCAAAAAGCCAAATCAGATTCAACTTTGGTTAAAAAAAGAGTAACACCATACTTCAAAATTTAAATGTGTTAATACATGTCCCCATGACAATTATTTCCCTTCTGAATCTAACAGTAGCTTTGTTGAAATGTTCCAGTTCGTTACATGTCACTTTAAAAATATATGAGTTTAATGCCCTGAACTTAACGCTTCTTCTCCCTGTTAAAGTCATGGTTTTTTGTTGTTGTTGTTATTTTTTAAATTATTTTTTAAATTTAAATTCAAGTTAGTTAACATCGTGTAATCTTGGCTTCAGGAGTAGAATTTAGTGATTCATCACTTACATAGAACACCCAGTGCTCATTCCAAAAAGTACCCGCCTGGGGCACCTGGGTGGCTCAGTCGGTTGAGTGTGCAGCTTCGGCTCAGGTCATGATCTCACAGTTCATAGGATCGAGCCCTGCATCAGGCTCTATGCTGACAGCTCAGAGCCTGGAGCCTGCTTCACATTGTGTGTCTTCCTCTCTCTCTGCCCTTCCCCTGTTGTGCTCTGTCTCTCTCTCCCCCTAACCCCTCTCTCTCTCAAATATGAATATACATTTAAAAAATAAAAAAAGAAGTTCCCTCCTTAATGCCTGTCACCCATTTAACCCATCCCCACACCCATTTCCCCTCCAGCAGCCCTCAGTTTGTTCTCTGTATTTAAGAGTCTCTTATAAGTGCCTCCTTCTCTATTTGTATCTTATTTTTCCTTCCCTTCCCCTATTGTGTTTCTTGAATTCCACATGTGAGTGAAATCACATGATACTCATCTTTCTCTCACTTATTTCACTTAGCATAAAACACTCTAGTTCCATCCACGCTGTTACAAATGGCAAGATATTTTTCATCGCCATTTTTTAAAGTTTATTTATTTATATTTAAGAGCGAGAAAGTGGGAGCGCGATCACGCACGCAAGCAGAGGAGGGACAGGGAGAGAGAATCCCAAGCGGGCTCCGTGCTGTCAGCACACAGCCCAGCGCAAAACTCCACCCCACAACCCTGGGATCCTGAGATGAGCTGAAATCGAGGCTGGTGCTCAACCAGTTGAGCTCCCCAGGTACCCCTTCATGGCTATAGTTTAATGCTCTGTGCAAATCAGCTCTCAGCTGTGAAGACAACCAAATCTTGTTGGTTTCCAGTTTGAAGAAGGATTTGCATGTGGCAGGAGCTAAGGCTGTACTTGACCCAGATATGGCAGAGGCCACCTGTCCACAGAAATGCCTGCAGCCATTCTTATCTGTGTCTAAATAACCCTGAATAAAATTACGTAATGATTCTTAAGACAATCTCTTCTTTTAGCTGTGTAATCTAAGCAAGTCTTTACTTGCCATGGCCACATCAGCAATGCCATTTGCTTGGTGATAGAACAGACTTAAACCCACTGAGAATGGTTTGAAAAGTCCATTAACTCTTTAGCCTGTAATTTGCATCTCAATTTTGGCCACAAATTATTGGAAAATATCTTCCAGGGGCACTTGGGTGGCTCACTGGGTTGAGCATCTGACTTTTGATTTTGGCTCATGGGTCATGATCCCATGGTGGTGAGATTGAGCTCCACAGAGACTGGGCTCTGTGCTGAGCATGGAGCCCGCTTGAGATTCTCTCTCTCTGTCTCTCCCCCTCTCTGTCCCTCTGCCTCTCCCTCCCTCATGCACATGCACATGTGCTCTCTCTCTCTTACAAAAAAAAGAGTCTTCTAATGTTTCATGTACTCTGTAAGCCACATTTGTGTTTGAGTAGGGATTCTATTTAATTACACTAGAGGGCTTGGCTGTTCACACCTCTTTGCTAATTACAGTTAAGTATTATCGCTTTTTCTCCAACAAAAGGTGACAGCATAAATTTTGTTGTGGGCATTTCTAATTTGTGTGAGTTTTTTTTTTTTTCTCAGTGCAACATAAGTAAATATATTCATGATATAGACAAATAGAACCTAGGGAAAAACTTTATAGGAACCATTCAAAGCATATAAAATTCCACGGAGACACCCAGAAGTAGATTGTACACGTGGAAGACATGCCGTGCTCTTAAATGTGAAGATTCAACACTATTTGTTGACAGGTTTTGTGTTAGAGCTAAATAAGTTGGTTATAAACTTTACTTGGAAAAATAAACAAGCAATAACTAGCCAGGAAAACTCTGAAAATCAAGGGGGATGGATAAGCCTAACTAGTTTTAAAAGGCCTCTTAAGCCTCTGTAATTCAGACAATATCGTATTGGCCACAATAGTTCAGTGGAACCCAGAAGAAACTCTGGAGCAAGTTGAAGACAGATATTGATATACAATGTAGATCATATGTCAGACCCGTGGAAGGAAATAAACTTCTTAATGCCAGGGATTTGAGACCATTGAATAGCCCTACAGAGAACGAGAAAATTGTGTACATTTTCACTGTCAATCTGAGGATAAAAAACAAATGAATCAGAAATGTAAATATAAAAATGGAGACCACTGAAGTTACTAGCAGAAAACAGGAGTGAATTCATCTGCAAAATGAAACTAAAGGATACTTTCCCAAAACACTGGTGTATTTGACTTCAAGGAAAACTAAATTCTTGAATGACAGAAGACAGGGAGAGAGGAAGGGAAAGAGAATGTTATAAGCCAAGTAAAAGTCCAAATGACCAATGTGGAATGGGGCTGTTAGAAACAGAAAAGCAATAGCAACCTTATAGAAGTGAAATCATAGGGTATTGTCTTTCTTTGTCTGACTTAATCTTATTTAGTGTGAGTCCCTGTAGGTCCATCCATGTCACTGCAGATGGCAAGATTTCATCCTTTTCTACAGCTGAATAATATTCTGTCATGTGTATATGGCGTATCTTTTCTGTGCATTCAATTATATGTGGAATCTAAAAACTAAAAGACAGAAACAGACTCCTAAATGCAGAGAACAAATTGGTGGTTGTCAGAGAGGCTGGGGTAGGGGAGTGAGCGAAGTAGGTGAAGCAGATTAAGGCAGACAAGCTTCTAGTCACAGGGATGAAAAATATAGCTTAGAGACTATCGTCGATAATATCGTAATAACGTACAGTGCGACACGACACTTGCTGTGGTGGGCGTTGAATAATGTATAGATGTG